AATAATTTTAAGAATATATAGACTATATTATTTATAATAGTTATAGCTGCACAGGCTCTATATTATCCTCTAGGCAGGCAGGTGATCACAACATAGTGTTTTCTAATCTGACCCAACCTATATAAGTTTGTATCTGCAGCATCTTGTTCTTTAAGTATTCCAAAGTCCTCATTAAGCATTTCCTTAGCTGCGGCCACCTTAGTAGGTAGGGCACAGATCCAGCCAATCTGAAATTCCTCTCATGCAGGACAAGGCATGGTTGTTATGTGGTACAACCAAGACAAATTTCTGCTCTAATCTGATGTTGACGATAAAAGATGGATGTTCACAAAAAATTGAAAGGCAGAAGAACCAGAGGGCTGTCAAATCTGACATTGCTAAAAGGGGAGCTGGAGAGCTTGTGCTGTGCATGAGGCATGGGCTGGGCGGTAAAAGACGAAACACCATTGGCCGCACTGACGATGCCTTGCTTCCTTGTCACCTGCTAAACAAAAGAAAATCCAGTTTAGCATTTTGACTTGGTTTCCGCAAACGATATCTGTTGTCGCTTAGTTGGAGTATCCCTCTGGAGAAACCGAGGCTGATATACCTCCGCTGTGAAGTCATCGCGTCAGATGGCCGCCGCAGCAATAATCAGCTGATTTCCACATGATTGAATAGTCACGCGATACGTGGCCATTAAAACATCAAGGAAGAAGACCTCGCCCTTTTATGACCAATAAGAGATCATTTCTTCTGAATCATGGATGGCGCCTTGGCCACTCACCAATCACGCGCGAGCAGTGAGCGTCGCGCGAGGGTCACCCCTGCTTGCTCACCTCGCTCAGCCCCACCACACACCTGCTCACCCAAGTCACGCGACCTCAGGGCGGCACTGCTCACCTACTAAAACAAGAAGGGCAATGGCCCTGGCGACCGTAGTTTTTTGCTCGGTAGGTACTGGCCAGAGACCAGCGGGTGCGACACTGAGGGCGCCATTTTCAGCGCCCTCATGAAATTGCAGGGAGTTGTGAAAACAAGCGATACACCATAGATAATCTCTGGTAATGCGAAGGTATATTGACACACAGTCGGATGGTATACTGGGGCGCCGCATATGTCTACTCTTTGATGTAGCACTGTACCAACAGGTACAACAATAAAATGACGAGGGAACTATGCAACTAAGGTAAAGCGAACTAGAATATCAAGCAAAAGTATCAGATGTCGAGGGACCAGCCCTAAATATGCAGCGTCAAATTAAAAAGAAAAAAAAAAAAAAAAAAAAAAAAAAAAATTAACAGACAAGCAAAGGGATTCTTGGATCTGTAAATAGCTAGGCTGGAGGTGCATAGAAAATCTAAATTGGGCCAAGCGCAGACAACGGCCGACGTGATACAGTTCCATGCACTCTCTCAGCATGGTTCATCAATGCCGACTTGCTCTCTAACTCTTCCTTGCAGATGCTGCATTTAACCCGCATGTCTTTCGGATATGGTATGACGTGAATGTCAACAAAGTGTCGGCCGAGGGACCCAGGGGTATGAAAGTTTTTGACTCGCTCACGTTCCGGCATACGAGGATTCCCCAGGCAAAGAAAACAAATCGTTGGCCGCTCATGTCGAGCTTTAATGCAGACAGACGCAATTGCATGAGAAACAGTGGTCTTTTCTTCCTCAGATGAAGGGCATTCTTGCCTTCTCGTAGGGGGAGCAGAAGGTAAGTCGTCCATGGCGCGACGTTTCTGGGTAGTTTTCGGTCGCCTTGTGGGTGAACCCTCTTCCACATCACAGAAAGCGATAACCGCATTGATGGCAGCAATCCGACGTTGATACTCCTTTTCAACAGTTGAGCCTGGCATGGTCAAGATGGTGTCGATCAATATCATATGCTGCGGGGTCATATATCCTGTCCGCTCCAGAGCACCCATCACCTCTTCATCTACCACTTTTCCAGCGAGTTGCCTCTCACTGTCAATCACTGGCTGCTCGTTCTTATATCGTTCCAGATTCTCACGCACCAAGCGGTTACGTTGTCGTTGCCACTCATTCCGAGCCACACGCTGTGCCCGGCTATGCCTTTGGGTCGCGCGCAAGTACTTTCTCTCCCGCCGCTCTACAACGTCGAGCGCCTGACGAGCGGGGCGTTGCAGCTCCTGTTTCATTTTCTTTCGTTGTAGGTAATCGCCAAACTTTTGCTGGAAGTCCCGTTCCGCCATCTCAAAAGCCCGCTTCATCTTGTCCCGAACTTCTTTTCTTTCATTGACTCGCTTCTGCAATTCGCACACGCGTGGGACCTTGTTGACAACGCTAGTGTCCTCTAATTTGTACGGTCGACGGGGGTCAATTGACCGGCTCATGGACGCTGCAAACCGCATCAGCTGTTTCTGGGCCGGCAGTCCCCGAACAATCGCCTGAGCGTCAACGTGGATGCCCACGCTATAGTGTTTGACGAAAGTGTCGATGCTAGCATGCTGCAACATCACGTTTTGGAGCTCGTTGGTAACGTCCGCTGTTCCAGAAGATGGCCGCGTTAGTATGGACGCAGTCATTTCCACCCTGGAACAAGGTAAGAGAACTCACGGCTGTCATTGAATGCTTTCGCTGCTCCGTAACGGAGACAGTACGGCTTTGTGACCTGCTCGAAACCTGTGATTTCGCCTCCTCGCTTCATTCGATATCGAAGTGCTCCTTCGGTGAGTTGCTCTTCCAAGGCGATACGAATCCCATCCGCCTCGCGCACGGCCTGACAGAACACAAACTGATCGAGAATTTCATCCTTCAATTTCAGTTCTTGTTGTCCCAGTCCATCTAAGACCCCGAGGTTATACAAATTTTCGGGACAGTCTACCACTAGCCCGTCCGTGGAGAAGTTCTTGAACGCCTTAATGCGAAACAGCATCCCTAGAAGAAACACATGGGGGCTGAGGACTAAGGTCGGGTCAAAGACGATCTCAGGAATGGGAAAAGTATTCCTATTCCAAACATGCTCAGCTATGGTCTGCCATGGGATACCACCGATCCATCGATACTTGAAATGGAGGTTGCAAAACTTACTGTTCCTTCTCACCCAGGAAAGTCTTCGTAAACTCCGGGGTCAAGTAAATGAATAACAGAGGACGTCCTCCGTCCGGATTACGGACAAGAGTCAGCGAAAGGTTCCGATAGCGTAGGTTCAGAAGCGCTCCTGGGCGGCTACCAGTGATGGCGGCCAGCTGGCAGAAGAGGAGGAGTTGTATTCGAAGCCACCCAGACTGAAACGTCATCTCTGTCGTCGACAGAAGCACGCGAGCGAACTCCGCCACGTCTTCGATATACATAGTCGCTTTTGGTCGGCGTCCAAGGAGCAGGTTTTTCTCCTGAGCAACGATTGCCAATACCTGTACGCTATTAGCTAACGCCTCAGGTTCATCAAAACATCGCTCGCTTACATCCAGGATCTTGACAATGGTCTCTTTGCTAAGGCCCTGCCCCGCCTCCGCCTTGTAAACCAGATGCCACCACTTCCAGAAGGTCTCTAGCGAACTTTTATATTTTATTCCTGGTGTCCGACGCCCATTCTTGCTTCGTCGCCGACCGCACCGCCAGGAGAAGAAGGCCTTGAGGAACCGGACTGTCTCCTCAGAGTCAGAAAGCCAGCGAAAACGCTCGACAGGATCGTGTTTCCCTTCGCAGCAGAATCTGGCGAGACAGGCCATCCGTTAGCAGCAGTGTTAGTTTGAAGCTCTGACTACATCTTACCGGTCCCAGTAATCCCGTGTCTCGTCTAACTTAGCCTGGGTCTTCGGACTATAACGTTTCTGTCGGAGCTGCGAGACATCGAGAGACTCAGCCATTTGGAGGTAGTGCAATGCGGAAAGCTCCTGCTCTTCCTCCTCGTCGTTGAGGATCGAATCACCGTCAGAATCATCAGATTCGTCACCGCTGCTGTCTGGCTCGGACGCGCTGTCGGAGATATCATCGGCTGCGCCATCTGAGAAGACATCCGAAACGTCGGTGCTCGTGCCGCTGTCGTCATCGGATCCGATCGGCTGAGTTGAGTACCGCATGGCAGACGAAGGATGCGAGGGAAAGGGATTCTAGACTCTCAAATGTAAAAGGAAAAAAAGAGTTGATGAAGGTAGAAGTCGAGCTTCGCTCTTCGGATGTTATGAGTCAGGAAGTAAAGGACAAATGCGTGGGTGACATGTAAGTCGCTCGAAAGCCAAGGGAAGGAATGGAGAGAGTCTCAGGGTCATCGTGGGCTTTATAGAATCAGAGCAAACAAGGTGGTCGCGAGGGGAGCCGAAAATGGCTTCCTTCTCAAAGGAAATGAGGTACGGCTGAGCGATGAGCCAGCCCTCAGGCGGCGGTAGCATGATGGTTGAACATCAGGGACCAGGGACCAGGGTCACAGGCAACAGGGGAAAACCAAACAGTGTTGGGCCGTGGTGGTAAAACCTGGTGGGCGTGCGATTATTGCACGTGACGCCAAGGCCGCCGAGCGTTAGTAGGACTCGCAAAACGGCGTCAAGTGTAGCCGTTTTTGGCCGCTGGCTAACTGTTTCATCGTTATTCATAGTATATTATTAATCTATAAGTTAGAGGGTCTCTACTCTATAGGTAGGGTGGTTAGATAGTATAACTAGTGCTAGGGGCCTATACTGTCTATAAGTAATACTAATACCCTAGAACCAGCCTGCCATCTACTTTACTTTATAGTTTATAGTCTGTAAGCTCATTCCCTAGAATACCCTAGTAGGCCACTAACTAATAGAATAAGATATTAAGTACTGGGTTAAGCCTCCTAAGTAGGTCTACTATTGACTAAACTGCAATGGGGATTCCTGATCCAGAATCATAGTAGGGTATAGGGCATGACTACACCGGATTAGGATTAGTGGTTCGCCACTTGGACTAAACCCACAATCGTAGACCACTCAGGAGTTTCCTACCAACTACTCTGTACCAAGTACCTTACAAAGCATACCTCGGTCTATATTCGAAAAGCTAAGATACCTCTCCACTGCAAGCTGAAGCATCATGAATCCGATTGGGCCATCTGCAAGGCCTGACCATGCCTACGCCGGCCCGCAGACTCGTTCCCAGTGGGCCAGACGTATCCCCGAGCTTCTTGAGGATCTCCGCGAAGCATTCCAAAGTACATCAACATTTCATCTGTATAGCCAAGTCGCGGTCATTGCAATGCATTGGGAGAATGATGATCTCAATGTTTTGCCTTTAGAGACTGAGCTACTTCAGACATTACGTGATGACTATGGCTTTCTCACATCTTCGTACACAATCCCGACTACTAACTGTCCTAATCCCCAAACACGGCTCCTCCAGCATCTACTGGCCTGGACTACGCAGCATTCAGGCGAGAACACTCTGCGGATGTATGTATACTCTGGCCACGCTGGAAATGCTGGCTATCAGTCGATTCAATGGCACCTAGCGTAAGTAAAACATGCCCGAGCTTCTATTGTTGCCCTTTTGATTATATGTTGATTAATAGTTTATAGTGGAGCATTGAATCGGAATGGAAGATTGACAGGCCCGTCAATCAACTGGTGGGATATCCGGGGCAACCTGGAAGTTGACCCAGGCGCAGTATGCTATGTCTTCGACTGTTGCTCGGCGGCATCAGGAGTATTAAAAGACTATGCTGGAGCAGAATTCGTTGCAGCTTCAGCATGGGAGCAGCCGGCTTCCTTATCACAGAACTTCTGCTTTACGCGGGCCTTCATTGACGCTCTGAAAGGCCTAAAGGGCCAAAACAGCACCTTGGCTGACGTTTATGCAACCATTGTACGCCATGCAAAGGACAGTCAAATTGAGGTACTGCCAATACATATTCCCAAACCCGGCACTAGAAGCGTCACTATCGGACATCAAGACAGGCCGATGAGGCCCGCTGGCGGGTGCCAGCTCAAGGTTTTGCTTAGTGTCAACATCAATGATCCAAATGCGCTGAATATCACTGACTGGAAAGAGTGGCTATCTTCGAACCTTCCCCCAACTATTCGCCCAGAAGACCTTGAGATTGAAGGTCTCTACGCTGGATCGACGGTCATTCTCTTTACTGTCCCGATCCAGGCATGGTGCTTTCTTCCTAAAAACCATGCATACACATTCATCTCGATGGTTACATCGGGAAATATGTTGCCTCCCTGGCGGCCATCGCTTCCGTCCCGCGTTGCACCCCCTCTAAACGAGAATCAGCCGTTTGCTGGTGGTTCTCATAAGCCTATTCGCTAGTAAAACAGGCCAGGGAGTTTATGCTTTTGGGGGTTGTCGAGACGCTGAGAGAGGGCAAGTTCAAATGGCAGGGTTGATTGTATTTTATACCTATTTGTGTTTAAGTCGCTTTTCATAGTCATATCCCATCATCGTTCGTATCAACCACTCTTCGAAGAATGCATACTTTCACTTGAGCTAGAGTGCATTTGAACCAATTATCAACTAAAGCATGACTTCACGAAAAGCTAAATACAGCAGTTTTGAGGCTGTGTCTTCCGTTTCCTCCGTTCCTCTCTATCCGAGATCCAATCTCAAGTCAGATGCCCCCCTTCGGACTTATAGAACTAACCTCGTGCTTCAATTGCTTTTCCCCAGATCCTCTTGAGGTGGCACCTCCGCTCCCCTTCTTCAGATAGATACCTCCGCAAACGTCCATGCAAGAAAGACATGGGATACGGCTGTTTGCCTGCGGTTGGGTTGTCGCAATAGCTCAGCGAGAAAGACGGGATGTAAACGCGGCCACTGATTTCCATAAGTCAGACGAGATCTGCAGCTTCAGACTGATTCTGGATCCGGATCCAGAATCGAGAAAAGTCACTTACCACCGTCGCCGAGGATCATCTTGGACACACCACCTATAAACCAAGTATGAAAGCGTAGTCAGACTCAAAATAGCTTTGTTGGTACCATTCACGTTCCATATGGACAAGAAGGCTATAGCTAAGCTTCATTGACTCCGCTGCGGCAGCTCTCCATCGCTTGATGTGTCCCCAAGCCACTTCTCGGTCCTCGCTAAGGAGGATCGAGATCTCCGCTTGAACTTCTGGGTCTGCATATGGTCGTCGGGCAAGGATGGCGTCAGCCAGGGGGCTGATGCCCTGCAGGGCAGGGATGGGTTCAGTAGAGGTGACCTCCTCCACTCTGTTATCCGTTAGCCGCAACGGGACGGGCGTTCTGTCAGATCTCATTTGTCTAAGTGTCTTGACAACCTCTTCCTCTTTAAGCCTGCCATTGGAAAGCTTCGCAATTTCTCTGCAGGGGAGCAAAGTCGGGTGGAGGATCGCCGCAGACTTGAATGTATCTGGAAGCCCTGGATTACCTGGAACAACCAGAGAAGTACTGCCGGATGAGCTCCTGGCATAGTGGGGCAGTGCGCGGGGATCGGTGTCTTCAATGGGCTGTGGGAGAGCATAGATCTCCCTGTCCCCCCACAGCAGGGCCTGTAGTAGCCATAATACAGGATCAACCTCGCAGAGCTGCTGGGCAAGGCCGAATTGGTAGCTACCGAGGTTCTCCGTATGATGGTGCCTGAAACGCTGGATCTCATGAATTGTGTAGTCGGCTATCGTGTCCACGCCAAGGCATAAAGTTGATCGCCACCATTCGAGCAGGTTTGTATCTGTCTCAAGGACCTTAGTTTCCAGGACATGTGCAGGATTAACATCGGTAATGCCCAGTCTGCGAAATAGATCTTCCAGGATTCCAGTCACCCTATCGTATGCGGTATCTGCCCTGGGGATTCCATGATTCTGGATCCCCGATCCAGAATCGTTTCTTCTGGCCTTCTTCTGGAGCGGCTTTGGATCTGTCTCAGAGGATGTTGCGGACTGGGAAGAAGTGTCATTCTCTTTCGATACATTAGGGTCATGGTGGGAGCGATTATCTTGCACTCCAGGCGATCTGCCGGAGGTGGTTGTGCTGCCCTGTGTGACATTTGCTCCCGCTGCAGAGGTATTGTCTGTCTCATTGGTGGTCTTGGAGRTTGTGTTACCCTGCGTCACAYCTGCTCCYGCTGCAGWGGTATTRTCTRTCTCATTRGTGGTCTTGGAGGTTGTGTTACCCTGCGTCACATCTGCTCCCGCTGCAGAGGTATTGTCTGTCTCATTAGTGGTCTTGGAGGTTGTGTTACCCTGCGTCACATCTGCTCCCGCTGTAGAGGTATCGGTAGTCTTGCGGGCACCTGTACCCGTCTTGTCGGGAGTCTTCGTGGTTGTGTCGGTCTGGCTGTCAACATGGGGACCGGGCTTGTTTATGACTGGGGATCTGTGGGCCCCTGCGTTGCTGCTGTTCGGGTTTTCGTAGCCCTGTGTGGTGCCGGGGTGGACGTTGCTGGATGAGGCCATGCCTGGAGCGTACTGGGCCTGGTTGTTCGGGCCATGATTAAGTAAGCTGGCATCTTGAGATTGATTTTGTGCTGTATGTGTGGCAGCATCTTCGGCACCCATTGTGTCGTCCTGAGGTTGATTGATGGCTCCACTGGTATCTCCAGATTGCTGTTGTGCCTTATGTGTGGCAGCATCTCCAGCACCCATCGCGCTGTTGTCCTGAGGTTGATTGACAGTTCCACTGGTATCTCCAGATTGTTCGATGTCGTCTGCATCACCTTCATCGTCGGAGAGCTCATCAATAATCGCCTTAGGGAGTTCGGGCATGCGACCCTCCGTCTGCCAGCTGAAATGACGAAGGTGATTATCAGCGTCAGTGATAGCTGCCTGTTCGACCAAGTCTGTTGGGTCAAGAAGACCCTGGGAGTTGATCTTGACACTATATGTCTTCAGAACTTCCTCAGTGACTGGTCCAGGGCGAGGGGATAGCTTGGCAAAGTCAATGGCCTTCTGCAAATCAGTACCTCCAGGGTTTGTGTTGAGTGATCTTCCTGACTTCATCGCCTTAAACCTCTCAATCTGTGCACAGACAAGGATGCCCATGGCCTGTCTGTAGTCGGGGACAGCTTTCGCCAACCTTGCTACTGATTTGGTCCAGTTTTGTGCACAGTTGATTTCGAGGAACTGGCGTCCGTCTTTGCCCCATTTGTTGATTACTGTCTGCCGTGCTGTCTCGACAGCTCTCTGGTTCTTGGCGATATTCTTGACCGCCTGATTGACTTTACCCCATATGTTCCGCCACTCTCCTGTTCTTTTGAATTTTGCGAAATCTGGTATAGTGTCACGGCCCACTTCGTAGAGGCCGAGGAGGATGTGATCTTCTGTGCCGCGGGCTGTCTCCATGGCCTGTGACACTTCTGACACAGCCTCATTGATGCGGATCATGTATGTCTCTGTGTCGAGCTCGGAACTCCACTTTCGTAGAGTTGCATTGAGGTGTTCTGGTGCCGAAAACCTCTCCCCCGCCACGATTATGCCGGGCACTCTGATCTCAGAGCGCTGCAATTCCTGAGACATCTAAAGTGATTAAATCAGTATTGCCCTGTAAGATCACGGATGCCTAGCCCAAAAATGATTGCTGATGGTGCATACCTTGAGAAGCTGTACAGAAAAAAGATCAGGCGTCAGGAGGGCGTAACACTGATTATTGAACGAATGTACGCTTGAATGATGCCTTGCAGAAGTTGAGAGGGAAGGAAGTGAGGCGAACTTGGAGATCGAGGGGGGAGGAAGTGAGGCGAACTTGGAGATTGAGTGAAAAAGAAGTGAATGGCAAAGCTGCATAGAGGAGATGTGAAAGGTAGTGAAGAGCTTGGAAACTGGATAGCGTCTTCTAGAGATTGAGAGGAAAGGAAGTGAGGCGGACTTGGAGGTTAAGTGGAAAAGAAGTGAATCGCAAAGCTGAATAGAGGAGATACAAAAGATAGTAAAGAGCTTACAACTTCTCAGCATCAAGTATAATACAATGATCTGAGCTAGTGTATTACTATATTGTCTCTCTTAATGATAAGCCTTGGGTCCTCTATTTTGTTATCCTCTAGCATAGCCCTTGGAAACACACAAAAGCCCATTATCATCATAAGTATAAGGGACGAAATAGTTACTCTTCAGGAGGGTAGTCAGGCTCATCCTCATTCTTATTGAGTGGCCGGACAACTTTGACGGCTCTGATATACCCCCTATAGTGCATGGGCTTGTTCAAAGCTACACAGTAGAAGCCCATGTCCAGTCTGATATCTTTGACTCATCAAGATGTGTAAACAGCCTTCTGCAATCTTCTAGTATCAGGTCTATGTTTTTGATTTCTGGGATTCAGGGACTGGTGTGCTTTAGAAGCATATGCTAAAGACACAATCAGTTCTGTCCTTCATTAATCTATGTAAGACTCACAGCGTGTGGCTTTCTTAAAGCAGGTCTTCCCCCATTCATCTCCCACATCTCCAAGTATGCAGCCTCATTAGAGATTTCAATAGGCCATAGTAGGCACAGACAGGTATGCAGGGACAGGAATTAGACTCTTATCTTGAGCTTAAAACAAAGAAGAAAGACTGATTCTGAATCCGGATTCAAAATTGTCTGGCTGGCCATTCTGTAATGCATGCTTCAGCTAGTCCTCTCCCTATAGCTAGAATAAAACTTCCGATTTCCCCTTTGGAAGAGGTACAATCCAAAGTCATATAACTCACCGCCCGAGCTTTCTGCCCAGTAGAACCATCCCCCACAACACACCAAGAAGGTACTAACATGGCGTCACTCTCATATGCCACTCCTTCCGCAATGGCCTTCCACTACAATGATTTTTCGGGTAGGAAAGGGCAACATACTCGCAGAATAAGTGAGCAGGAACGTTCCTATAATTCTAGACATCATGGCTACTTGGCCAAGATGGCCTTTCGCATCAAACACAACGGAAGATCAACGAAAGGTCATCACGATGTTTGGTCCCTGCCGCGTAACGATCCAAGGAGGGAAATTTCACTGTGTCTGTAAGGCCGGCCTCATTTCACATCAATCCTCGTCCATCAACCTGAGTGAGCCATGCTCCTCATGTGACCATGCTCTGCGAGAGCATGAAGACATCCAAGGTACATTGTGTTCATTCATTATATGAAGTACGCGTGCTCATCTGTAATTTTCTTCTAGATGACACATTTTCTGCATTCAAGACTGGTCCATCTCCATCAGTTCCTGCTGTACTTGCAGATACGGGGCTTTCCAATACAATATCCCTGAGAAGTACGTCTATCGAGATGCTCGCCTGTCTGATTGATGAGCATGACATAATCCACGTTCGCGGCACCCCGGCGTCGGGGAAGAGCACCATGGCTAAACTCCTTTACCGCCATTATTCTC